AAACCACTTTGCGCTGCGCAGGGGGAGTGACTGCCTTCGGCTCCCGCTCCGAACCGGGCCGCAGCATTTTTTCTTATTTCTGGTGGGAAACGATCACGTCTAATGAGAAAAATGAACACAGCTTTCTGCGGGGACGTAAACGTCCTTTATTTCAGGAATCCCGTTTTATCTGGCTGCAAAGGGGCCCGGTGATGGCACCGCGGGGCTCTAGGGACCCAATGTCGGGGCGACTCTCCCAGCTGGCCCGCTGGTGGCGAGTGACTTTGTCCCTGGGTGGGGGGAGTCCCATGTGTAACGCTGCCCTTCCTCTTGCCCTCCGCCAAGCCCTCGTTGGAAGGCTTCCATGTTCTCGGGAGCACCCCTTGGGTGGTGGTGGGGAATATCCGGCTGTCGCTCCCAAAAATTTCGGTCCCAAAGCCCCCTACGAGACGGGTGCTGACGCAGTGGTGCGCAGCGGAGCGTGATGTTGTCATCGTGCAGGTGAGAATAGGAGGCTGAAGCCCTAGCAAGGGGGACAACCTTGTATTTATTTATTTATTTATTTATTTATTTTTAAACACCTTGGACAGAATCACAGAGTCACAGAATCGTAAGGGTTGGAAGGGACCTCAGGAGATCATCTAGTCCAACCCCCCTGCTAAAGCAGGCTCACCTAGAGCATGCTACACAGGACTTCATCCAGGCGGGCTTTGAATATCTCCAGAGAAGGAGACTCCACAACCTCCCTGGGCAGCCTGTTCCAGTGCTCTGCCACCCTCAGAGTGAAGAAGTTCTTCCTCATATTCAACTGAAACCTCTCGTGTTTCAGTTTGCATCCATTGCCCCTAGTCCTGTCGCTGGACACCACTGCAAACAGACTGCTTCCGTCCTCTTGACTTCCGCCCTTAAGATATTTGTATGCATTGATGAGATCCCCTCTCGGTCTTCTCTTCTTCAGGCTGAACAAGCCCAACTCTCTCAGCCTTTCCTCGTAGGGGAGATGCTCCAGTCCCTTTATCATCCTAGTAGCTCTCCTCTGGACTCTTTCTAGGAGGACATCGGGGTGTTTCCTGCTTGGTTAAATACCGCTGGATGTCCAGGTTTGGGCTCAGTATGAGATAATCCAGGTCCCAGCTGGTTTGCACCTCCCAGGGTTTCCTGCTCAATCCCGTGCTTGCCGAGGAGGTGGCCAAAGCACTACGTGAATATCTTCATGTCCTGCGGGGCGAATTGCATGTTCTCCTGCCAGGACTCCAACTGCTGATAGCACCTGAGGTGGGATCGATGAGCTCTAGTTCTGGCAGCGGGCAATTAAATCCGCTGAAGATTCCAGGTAAATCAGCCTTCGTTGCCAATAGGTTTCTAGGAGCAGCGGTCCCATCTACCTGTCCCACTGTTTAAGGAAAAGCAGTCCAAACTGGCTTGAAATCATATTGATATCCGAATGTTGTAATATAAATATCAGGAACCAGGGGTGTTTCTGCACGTTGTACAGATTTGCCATTGCTATACATCCGTTTCCTTTCCCCATCCAAATGGTTTCTTGCTTACTGCGGCGTTGTTGTCTTTTGGATTCTTCTGTGTTGTTTCCACATATCCTTCTGTTATGTATTGCACATTGGACTTCTGATTGACAACTGAAAAATAAACACATGCTTATTACTGATTTTGTAAAGGGGGGAGGTACCTGCATGGTTTAAATATTTTGTATGTAAAAATATTTGAAAAAGAAGGAGAGTTTTGAGGATATTTTGACAATAATTACGAGCCACTTTCTCTTTTAATGCAGTTTAGGTGCTGTAAGAAACTCATGTTGAAAGATGATGGCAAAGTTCCCTCGGTTTTGCCATGTGGGCTTGTTCACTGCCTTTGTTTAGACAAAAGCCCGAGCGTGGAGCAGAAATACCCCGGCTGAGGAGGCTGGCAGACCTGGCTCTGCCTGCAGCCCCTGGCTGAGGACAGGACCCATGAAGCCCTGATGTTTTGGTGGTGGTGAACTCAGGTAAGAGCCACTCAGGACAGTTTAACAGTAGTAGCATTTCTGGTTCATACCATGCATATTGTTTTTAATAGTGTTTCAGCAGATTATATTTAAAAAGCTAGATAAAGCCGTCGTGATTATCCAGTCTAACCTATCAAAGAAAAAGCAATGATTTTCATTTTGTACGGTCCTGCATTACTCTTGCTGAAACCATAATATCTGCGGTGGACCTCCAGGTATGAAAGGTTTTGGGTTTAGAATATTCAGGTTTAAAGCATGCAGTTTGCAAATATCTCTATATCATACGATTGACGGCAGTCTGCTCCGGCTGTGGTCAGTAGCAATGCTCTAACAGGAATTAGTTTATATTGGTTAAAGCTTTTTACCATGTCCATTCTTCTCATGGCCTGGACTGTCTTCATTACATTTGGATTTATAACTCTCCAGTGTCTGCTCTGAAACATCATTTTCTGTGCAGAAAAGAAATGTAATTAAGATGATGAGATTTTTTCCATGACTCTTCCTCACTCTCTGCCTTGAGCATAAAAATCCTGAGAGACTAGTGATAAAATGGGGGATCAACCGTCCTGACAATCTAAAAGATATGCTTAAGACAACAATTTCATTGGCTTTTGTGGCACCTCGTGCCAGCTGAAGCATGGGCTGAGGCCATCAGTTACAGAGACACTTCAATAGTTGTTTGCAACAAGTCACCGTCACTGTCTATGGGAGAAGGACATTTTGTCGGGGGCTGGAGGAGCTGTGCCATGTCCCTGCGTAGCAGGATCCTCAGCCCTCCGGCCACTCTGAATAAAGCAGCCTCAGCAGTTGCTCAGACACGGCCGTCACCCACCTCTCTTCCACACTCCATGAGCTTTTTTCAGCTTCCGCATGAAAAGCAGGACAATGACGAGCAGCACGAAAATCAGAGCAGCCACCAAGATGGGCAGCAAGAGATTGTTCCCCTTCTTTTTGATGCCTTCAGATTTCACATCTTGCTCTGTAAAAGAGGCAGGTGTATGTTTGTGGTGTTAAATAGCTCCTGCTGAGTCTCTGGTAATTCAGACAAGAACAATACACCCTGGACCAGGCCAGATGAACATGGTGGGAGAGCAGAAGTCGCCTTATTAGGCTTAATTTTAGGATGTGTCTCGTATGAACAAGAAAAACCGATTGAAGTCAGTGGACTCGTGCTCTGGCACAACAAACAGTAAAATTTAGCTTTTTTTCTAGGTGATAAAAATGGTTGTGTTTGTGTGGTCTCCCCTCAAGATTGCAAGCCAGCATTACCCTAGTGTACTGACAAAAGGTTTGGAGGTGGATACATGGTCAGAGAGAACCAGCTTGGGGTAAGAAAGCTCATTGCGTGTTTGGAAGCTGTCATTAAAGAGTTCGTACCAAAGGTGATGATGGAAATCACAGTCACATTTTCGCTTGGTAGTGGGGCTTCTGTTCTGGGAAATTCCTCTTCTGTGACATTGCCATTGAAGGCTGTTGCAGTCCCTGGAGGAATGGAGAGGAGAACAGTATTTCTCTGAAGGGCAAAGGGATGTTTAAGAAATGCATATTTTCCTAGCCACTTTGAAGTCCAGGGCACCCGGTACCACCATGGAAAGGGACTTCTGGAGCCCTTGACGTAAAGCTCTGTGCTCCCTTCCGTAATGCTGTATTTCATTTTAATCTGAAGACCACCTAAGCTTTATGAAGAGAAAATCCTCAGTCTCTTACATGTCATTGAACTCAATGGTTCCCATTTACAGCCAAATTAAAACAAAGCTGAGCTTTGACCCTTTGGGCATTTGGGGGCTTTCCCTGTCCATCAGTTTGCTTCTCTTGCTTGAAAAACCAGGAATGAGCGTGTATCCTTAAAGCAGATTTTTTTTTTTTAGTATTCATATCCCTGACTACTCTTTTACTATCTTCATAGCTCACAGCAGTCACCCAGCATGAGAATCCCTGTCCTTTGCCACTGCCACCCATGTCTGATGATGTAAGGCTGTACCACTGGGGACACGATACTTCGCCCAACCAGCCCATTCCCCTCTTGCAGCAGCTGGCCTTACTTCGGACCCCACAAAACCAGAGAGGTGAGCTCTGCCTTTCTAATGCACACAGACAATATATCCTTCTGTAATTAACTTTGATCTGTAAAACTGAAATGATGATGTGTGCTGTGTCTACCAAAACTTTACATTCATAAGAGATTTTCTTCCTTAACAGGTATGTAAGCAACACCCAGTGAAAGTCCTGTTGAAAGATTGAGGCTCTCTCTCCATCTATGTTTATCAACATCTGTGGGAACTGTTTACCAGGATGTAGCCATTCTGTGATGTTTGTAATCACTGATGTAGCACTTTCAAACAAAAACAAACAAAGAGTTCACCTATTTCTAAAACATCCAGTTGGTTTTTCACTGCGGGGCCAGCCACACTAAGCAGGCATGTGGGCCCACCTTGGTGGGTTTTGGCCAGCTGATCTGGGCAGTGGGGCTCTTAATTCTTCTGCTTGGAAGCAACTCCTCCGTTCAGTACCTGCAACCTGCAGCCTGCTTGGTGCACAGATAACCGCTGATGCACAGTGCCATCTAGTGCAACTGTCCAGAGGAATCCCAGCCTGGGCTCACACCGTGCTGCGATAGCGGCCGGTTGGCTGCTGCTGCTAATGCTGATGTTCTTCTGCATCTAACGGAGAGACTCCGTCTGCTTTCATGGCTGTAAAAGTGAGGGCTCCCCACATAAGCAAGAAATGCTGTGGTTTATATTACGCGTTTGTTTGTAACATGGAATGTAACACTGCTCTCGGTAGTATTTCCATACCATGGTTTGGTAAATTCATGTAACTAAGACAAAACTTACAAGTAGATGTGACATCTGGTGGGAGGTTTTGCTGGGTTGGTGTTGATGCTGAGCTGGTAACTACTGGATCCTCTGGTACTGCAGAAGGGATGGTTGGTTGTTCGGATCCTAAAGGAACCCCCCCAAAACATGAGACAAAAATCAGTAGACACATTTTGCCATTGAACTGATACTTGAAAAACAAAACCTGCCCTGTGTGCTCCATGCTCCGGACTGTCTGGGCGCTCTGTCTGATGTGGTTAGACTTACAGTCCTACCCTCCCACCTTCAGCTTCCCTGACCTCTGAATATATGTAATGCTATGAAATTAGGGAAATAAAAAAAGAAAGTGAAACCCTTACCAGTATGCTGTGGGTAGCTTGGAGCGGAGGCTGTGCTGCTCTTCAGATCTGACACTGCTGTGGTCACTGGGGAAAAAACCAAAGTGGTTCTGAGAGCTGTGCAAAATGTCCCTCAGTGCTGATGGCAACTGGTGGTAGATGCTTTGTTTATCATCTGAGCTGTGCATTAACTAAAAAGAGGCCATGCCTACCTGTAGATAGCTCATTCCCAGAGACATGTGCATCCACCTCTAGTGTAGCTGGTGCAGGACTTGGTTTGGTCACTGAAAAAAAACCCAACAGCAGTACAACTTTCAGATCACTTTATAAGCATTTGTTGAACCAAGCAATCTAAGGATGAATGAATTAAGAATAATTAGACCCATCCTAAAGATGAGTAAATAGGCGGAAGGCAAACTCTACTCTGAGAATTATTAGACAAGCAGCTTCAGTGTTAATTTACAATATTTACACCCTGCTAGCTTTGCAGGTGGATGTGTCTAGTACACAGAAGGCATGGGAAGCTCACAGCTTTTTGAGAACATAAACTTTCAGTTATCTTTAAAGCTTTAGGACAAACATCACCTGAATTCTAGCAGCAGCACTGGGGAACTGACCTTTAATGAATTTTAAGGTAGTTAAGAAGCAGGAAAAAGCCCCCAAATCTTAGTTGCCCTCTCATTTAAAAATAGATTCCATGCCTGGGGCAGTAGACTAGGGGCTTCGGCTTTGCATATGTATCTGCATAACCTTCAGCACTTCAGAGTGGTAAAATGGGATAGCTGAAGGAGCCTGCAGTACCTGTCCTAGGGAGGTCCTCAAACTGGAAAGACGCCATCAGCTTCTCTTCTCTTAGTGCTTGGTGGCGAACGATGCAGCTGGCTGTTGAATTGGGCCCATAGGCGAGGACTGTCAGCCTGCTGGTTGTGGTCCATTTCTTCCCATCAGCTTCTAACTTGTGCTTAGTGTCACCTATACACCCGTTGGAAGAGAACGTTTAAGTGCTTTCTAGTCAAGTGCAATTTAATGAAAAACCTTCCAGGAGCAATCTGCATTACTTTGCTGTGCTAAAGCAGCACCTGATTACTGTGCACAAGTGGTTCACTGGGTAAATGGATTACATGGGAACCCAAAGGCAGCAAGGTCACGTTTTCATCCTCGGCAGTTGTTTAAGTGCAGACCTCGCTGCAACCTCCTGCGCTCAACCCAAAGCCTCTGCTTGGTTTCATGACTCATGTGGGGAAATTCCCCTGCAGGACCATGGTGAAATGTCCCAACACCCACCGGCGTTTTTGCTTCTTCATGAACGGAATAAATTGCTTTACTGTGTGCCACAGCCACGCAGGGCCTGCCGCGGGGCGCCTCGGGGCAAGGGCCTGCCCTTTTGCAAGCGCGACCGAGATCTAAGAAAGTTCTGATTCTGCTGTGTGGTATCCAAGGGCATTGAATTTGTGTCTTAGTAGCTGTGGATTTGTTACCCAAACGTAAAAAGAAGTTGTTAAATTTGTATTGATGGGCAATATTTATACCTGTGATAAATAAACTTTGGTACAACTCTCTTAAATCCTGTCCAAGTCCTCCATCATCCCCACAACACAGGTTTGACTCTTCCCCTTTTGCAGTTGGGGGAAGTGAAACACAACGATTAATTGCTTTGCCATAATGAAATAGAGTTTGCTATGTAACTTGTCTGATGTAGTTCCCAGTCCTCTAGGTAATACTGACTTCTACTCATTTATACGATATGGAAAAATAAAGATGTATTTCCCATGGCATACAGAGACATGTCTGAATAGCTCTGGCGGAGATGGAGGTTTTTACAGATGTTTACCCTAAGTGCCCATGGTGCCACAATAATTTCTACTGTCTGTTTATAATGTAGAGGTTCTCTGAAAACAAACTGCTGCTTTCTCTTGATCTTGGTAACACCCTTATTTCTTAAATGAAAGAAATTCCTTCTTTCCAAATTAGCCTTTACTACTTTACTTGCTGCATTGCATAAACCACTGTTTCTCAACCCTCTTTTCCATCCCCAGCAGGGTCACGTAAGAGCTCAAAAGGATTTCAAAGTGGTTTTGCTCGGAAGGAAATAATCTTTGTCAGCAACAGCTCAGTAATTACAGCTGGTTTGCCCCTGCTGGGCCCTGGTGGAACTGAGGTGCTGCCAGTAATTAAGATGTATTAACTATTTTATAATTAGTACAAATATTTGCGGTAAGTGATTAAAGCTGAGACTGGAAGGGGGAGAAGGGAGTGTTACTCAATGACAGTCACCCGCAAAAAAAGGAAAGGCACATGCAGAAAGTTTGAGAAACACTGAATTAGGACGGCTATTTTTGCCTTTCAAACGTTTCAGTTTGTGTCTGCCACAAGCAGGCCACATGGTGAAATCATGCAAATATTCCTTCCTCTGAAAACCAGCCACAGATGAAACCAAGCAACCCGACCCAGCACGGCCCCTGTGGTGCTTAATTGCCTTCCCAGGTGCCTGGGGGGGGGTGAGGTGGAGAGTTGGGTAGCTCTCGCTGGTTTGGCTTGCTGTAGTGGCTGACTGGGTTAGAGCTGCAAAGGCAAGGAGGAGGTAAAGGTAAGTAGAGGTTTTTGTTAAAATAAGGGAGAAATGCATGGTTGGCTTTCTGTCTTGTGGGAGGTATTGAGTGTCTGTGTTGGGATCTTACGAGTAATATACTTTATCAGGCCAGACCTGAGGTTGTTTCAAGTTTAAGGGAACCCCTGTTTTTAGAAGAATACTGGGAAAAATGTATATAAAAACTTAAGAGGTGACATCCTGCTTCCCTGAGCTCTTCATAACTTCACAGCTGGTATTCCCCCAAGCCCTTACAGTCACACACAGCCCAGCTCTTCCCAAAGACACGCAGGATTTTTGACCCTGCTTTGCCAAGGCCCGTGCACTGTTCCAGAGCACCTTTCCCCCTGCAATCACAGACAGCTCTCTGCCCTGGCTTCCACGGGGCTCGCTTCCCGGCTATGCTGCTTCCCCCGAGTGCAATTCCTTTAACCATGAGGCTTCATGCAGTTGCATTAATGCCTGCGTTATCTGGCAGCCTGGATTTCTTTTCTTTAGTCTTGATTTCGAGCTGTATGTAGGCCAGCACACTCCTCTGTTATTTTCTAGAGCTCTTAGTTAAAAAAAGCCATTTTCGGGACGGGAGCGGGAGGATTACAGGCTAAGCTTTGAATATGTTGCTCGATGATACAAAATACAAATAAGAGCTTGTCAATACGTGAAAGAAAATACATTTGCATCTGTGGGTATTTTCCTCACACTTTGATACGGATGTGCGTTTCCTCTCTGCTGCTCTACAGTTGCAGCTAATAAGGTAGTTATTATTGGAACATGGCCTTCAAAGCAGCTATTTATATAGTGCACGGGGCAAATCGAGCTACGCGGTGGCTCTGTTCCTCCTCGCGTGTGTCCGCCCAGATGTGTGCAGCTCTTTTTTTTTTTTTTTGCTTCTGCTAGCGAGCTGCCTGGCTCTGGGCGGGTTAATGGGGGAAAGGCTGCTGGGGGGGGGGGGGGG